TGCTTGATACATTTTGTGCAGGAGACTCTTTTTACCATGAGCTAACAATAGATAGCTTAAGATCTGCGACGTCAACTATCTAGGACGGCAAGCAGAAGTGAATTGGCAATATTTTTTGAAGTGCACATGCGTCACTCTCAATTGCTCGTCGTCCACTACACGTTGATAACTTCACAACAATAGGTGTAAAGTGAGGATTTTCAAGAAACTTCAAGATAATTTTAAGAGGTAAATATGGTTTATATTTGTTTACTATGTCATTGACGTGCCAGCGTAATCTTTAACGTTGTTGCTTTCGTAAATTTCCTTTGTTTGGCACTTATATACAAGGCAAGTTTCCACTCGTATGGCGCTGGTCAGTTCGTTCTTTGACTTCGCTTTGGCGACTACTTTCGACCTAATTTATGTACACGTTTTTATATATAGATGGAATGGACGAACCTTCACGATGTTTTGCTATGTAGGGATATACTTGTGGTGGAACCTTACACGACAAAGTCACGAACAAGCCAAAGAGGACATTTGTGGAACACAATTGCTGAAAATTTGAACAAGTTGGCAGAGCCAAAGTTTTTGGTTGTACAGCGCTCTGTTCGTGACCGCTTCAAGCTACTGAGGGATAAGTTTAAGAGAAAAATAGCTGCAGAGGAACATGGCTCAGGAATTTCCCCAGAAATGTCGGAGCTAGACACACTTTGAGGAAATTCTCGAATTAGAAGAATCATACAATGATGAACAGGTGAGAAGAAGCGAAAAGAACAAGTGGACAAAGAAAACACGGATGATATGAGACTTAAGGCTATGGAAACTTTGAGGGAAACACAGAAAAGAAAAGCAGACACAGTAGGTGATGACAAGAAAGTAAAGCAGAGGAGTAAAGGATCAGAGGCTGTGCATTATTTAAGGGAGAGGATGGAAAGTGAGAGACAATTGCGGGAAAGGGAGCTGGAAATAAAGAAAAAAATTTAGATAATGACACTAAAAAGCAAGAAAATGAAGAAAAGCGACATAAAGACTTCATGCAGATGATGCAGTTGCAAAATCAGCAGATGCAAATGAATTGTGTACAAAGCCAAGCCCAGCAAAGCCAATTATTCATGGCCCTGATTAAGAAACTCTCTAAATAGTATGCATTATTTACTGTCTGTATTACAGCCATTTTGCTGCTCCACATATATTTTCATTGTTTCATTTATATTTTCATTTATATTTTCATTGTTTCATTTATATTTTCATTGTTTCATTTAAAGTGCGACTACTGCAACCAGGGCCATTTATATAGCAGGAACCAATCACATTGAAAAGCAGAAACAAAGAAATACAACTTACAGCTACATGAAGAAATAATTTTAATTGGTTCCTATTATACAAGCTACCATGATTCCAGTAGTCCAACTGTAATTTCGTGTCAATTCTCAAATTTTTCATTTTTTGATAACATAATCACCCTCAATAGTTGTGAGCTTATATCATCCTTGGAGAAAATGTTGTGTCAATTTGTTGTGATGAACTATTTTGTAATAATACATAATTATTTAAATTTATTATAATCTGATGTACAGTATTAAATGTATTATAATCTGATTTTAATATTAAATACATAATTATTAATGTTGAACTGTCTGTGCCAATAATAACAAAGCTTTCATTGGTAGGGATACAACTACCTGAAAAATATAAGGAGAAATTCTACATTTCGAGTGACGGGCCTTTGCTCGAAACATAGAATTTCTCATATTATATTTTTCAGGTAGTTGTATCCCTATCAATGAAAGCTTTTTACACAATTATTATCACACAATTATTGCAATGTTTTTAATTATTAATATATTCTTGAATTGTTGGAGCCAGTTCAAAAAATTTTGAAGTTAAATTACTGTACATGCATGGTGCACAATTTCGCAAAATGCCGGAGACTATATACATCTTGCCAACAGCACTCAATCCCACTTTCAGGTTTTTTTTTAAATCCATGAATTTAAAACTGAGTACTATATCACCAAACAACCACTCAACCGATACCCGCACGCTACTCATTGACTTGTTAAAGGCTTCCATGTCAGGATTTGGTTCCACCATCCTAAAAGGTGCCTGCAGATGGACTTGAAGGCGGTAGGCCGGGTCCCCATACAAGCACATTGGTTGCCCATCAAGATTAAATGCATGTGCTTCAAGCCTTTCTAAAATTCTTGAATCTCTTAGCATGGCAGAGTTGTGTTTTTTTCCCTCTACAAAACAAACAGAATTGATATTCCAGGTCACAACATTTATTGCCTCAATGCACTACTTAGTTTTGGAAAAGGGTGTAAATAACTCACTACATATACCTCACAAACATAACACAGGGCATAGGAAGTGGGATGGCAAGGACCCCAAATGTTATATACAAAGGTGTGCTAGAATAGCTTTTGCCTCTTCCTCCCGCTGAAAAACAATTGCTCAAATTATAGGAAATTGTGTTTTCAAGGATCTATATTTCAAAATTTCTGGGTCGACAAGCCCCCAGACCCCTAGAAATGTCCCCTTCACCCCTAACACAAATTTTCATGCCATTAACAAAACTTCCATTCACAGTTCACCTTTGGAACATGTTTACATGCAATCTTGAATGTTTTTCCAGGTTTGGGTTATGTATGAAACCTGATGAGTGTGTTAAACTTTAAAAAACTACATGATATGGGCCAAGGTCTTGCCATGAGTTGGTGGGCAATTCCACTCAATATCCCCCCCCCCCCCCATGG